CGCCCCGCGCCAGCTCCGGGGGCGGCCTCCCCCAGCCCGCCCGGCCCGGCCCGGCCCTACCCGGCCAGGAGTCAAGCGGGAGCCGCGCTCCGCAACGCCGTGCTCTCGCCGCCGCGCCGCGTCCGCCGCGCTGCTCTCGCCGCTCCGCTCCCGCGCCGCACCACGCTCCGGCCCGGGGGCCCGGCCCGACCCGACCCGGTGCACGACCGCCGGCTGCAGCCTCGCGACCCGCACCTGCGCGCACCCGCGGCCGCGCCTGCAGCAGCGGGGTGGGATGACCGGCACGGTGAGTACAAGGTCCCCGTCGTCAGCGGTGCAGCGGGCCGCCCGATCGGTAGGCCACCCTCGTACGCGCGCACACGGCTGCTCCCGCGTTGCCTATCTGCACGGCGCTCGGCTCGCTCGGTTCGCGAGCGCTACCCTCTTAGCGGTATCTGCCCGTCGGGATCTCCTCCTCATAGCACCGCGTCGTGCGGCTACGTGAGCTGGCTGGCAACGCGCCGACCTGCCGGCCATAACGCCCGCCCCGCCCTCCGCGCCGTGTTGTGTCTCCCCTCGCCGGTCCTTGCCCCCGCACCGCAGAGCTCGGCAGAGCCTGGCGGAGCCTGGCGGAGCCTGGCGGAGCCGCAGCGGCGCGGTCCCCCTTTTTACTGCCCCGCAGTCAACGCACGTCTGCCCGCAGTGATTGACATCTCTCTCGCTCGCTCACCCCCTTCTTTCTCTGTCTCTGTCTCCCTGTCTCCGTCTTTCTGTCTCTCTCTCTCTGACTCTCTCTCTCTCTCTCTCTCTCTCACTCACTCACTCACTCACTCACTCACTCACTCACTCACTCACTCACTCACTCACTCACTCACTCACTCACTCACTCACTCACTCACTGTCTCACTGTCTCACTGTCTCACTGTCTCTCTCTTCCCCTCCCACCATCTGGTCTGCCGAGTAGTGATGACTGACGTCTCTTTCCGTCGCTCTGCACACAGGAGGCGCCGGACCCCGGACGCCGGGTGTAGCGGGCCGCCCCCCGCCGCCCGGTCCCCCCGCGGGGATGCACGGGCACGAGAGGTAGCGCGCGCCATGCGTCGCCTGCTCCAGGAGGCGGTCCGGATCACAGCGACGCCAGCCGCGGACGGCACGCCGGCGCCCGCCATGGCCGCCATCCTGAGGGCCAACGCGTCCGTGGCGCCCGGCACGACGCTGGGCCCGCTCGGTGTGACGCTGGCCAGCACCATGCCCCCCCTGGGGCCGCTGGACCCGCCCTGGCCGGGCTCCAACAACACCAACCTCACGCTCGCCGCCGTGGACGACGAGTTCGCCGAGGACCTAGGTGAGCTGCACACCCCCGCTGATGTTGTTCTTCCTCTTGTGTGGAGTTTCATTTTAAAAT